AGTGCCTCGTTTGATTTTCAACATTTTCGTTTTTCCTTCAAATTGAACACTGTTGGGGCCTTCATAATGCTTTCCATCATAGTAAATCATGGTAACATACATGTTTGGACTTGAGCTCATCTTTCACACGAATTTTGGGGGTAGGAATCAGATTTTAGGGTTTTGGGTTCAGATTTGGGGGAAACAATTGAGAAATAAAGGAAAATGACAATGATTTCACAATTACTATGCCTTAGATGTGGTGGGATGAAATGGAAGGGTGATTGGAAGGTTCACAGCTGACAAACAAGAGAAAGAGACCAAGAGAGGAGTTTTGATTTCGAATATAATGAAAATGAGACCAAGAGAGGTCTGGATATAGGGTTTTTCACGACATTTAGTCGACTAAATAATGAGCTTAGTCGACTAAAAGTGCAAACAATGTAGTCGATTAAGGTGAGTTTTTAGTCGACTAAAATTCGTGTTTCATGATTTCTGAGTTTAGCCCATTTAGTCGATTAAAAGTGCAACTTAATCGACTAAATGGGGGCAGGATGGTGGATAGTTCTGGGGGAGGGACAAATTGATTATTAATTATTTAATTAGGGGCAAAATGGTCAAAAAGCTGTATTCCATAAGCAAATGGGATTCAAAAAGAAATAAACAATGACGAAGTGATGTATATAAAAATGAAGATAGTATAATAGGAAATTACTTCACTTCAAAACTAAAGACTCTAATTTCTTGTATAAAAAAAAGACTCTAATTTCTTATATGACAGTGAATTATATGTATTTGATTATTTCAAATATATTAGGTCCAATAATAAATATTAATAAGTTGTCATGACTCATGTACGATGATTGGGTGATCAACTAATAATAGATAGATCATAGATCAGCCCTTAAATATGATAATTCAGTGATCATTGTTATGCAAATTTGATGGAATTAGCTAATCCAACCGTTTGAGTCAATAATTGAATCACTAACCAATCCGGTCATGACAATTAAACTACTGATTAAAGAATTGGTTATTAGAACTTAGTACTTATATTCATTTGCCTACAATTTCACCAATGTTCTAAACATTCAAGTTAATTTTGTGTGGATATATATATATGAGTTACTTTTTTTGTTTACTACTCTTACAACTTTAATTATGTATTTTGGGAACTATAAATATTTAAAAGTATATTCTTCAGAATATATAATAGATATTATAAGAATTGTAAACAAAAAAATTATAAACATAATTTGCCCCATTATATTTATTTTCTCTATGCAATAGGACAACTTTAATTATATATTTCGGGAACTATAAATATTTAAAAGTATATTCTTCAGAAAATATAATAGATAATATTATAAGAATTGTAAAAAAAAATTATAAACATAACTTGCGCCATTATATTTATTTTCTCTATGCAATAGGACCCATGATATTTTTGACATGACAGGAGAAAAAAAATCCTAACCCATTAAAGTTATCTGTATTTTTTACAAATACTTTTTTATTAAACTTAAACTCTAGTTTATTGTCGAACTCAATTAATTTAGTTATTTAGGAACGTGTTGAACCTATACTTCTCAGACAGTCACATCTCATCACCTTGTAATGGGTTAGATAATAGGGTTTAACTTTTCTTATGTTGTAGGATTGTAGGAGAGAAAAAAAGTAGAGAGAAGTTAAATGTGGGTCCCATATTTTATATTAAAAAAGAAAAGAAAAATTATTTGGCACGAAAAACGAATTTGTGTAAGAAAATGAGAGTATCTTATGTGGCATGAGAGTATTATTTCCCTAGATAATATTATCTTGGCACGGATGTGATTGTTCCCGTCCGGCATTCCATTATTGGTCTAACCACCCAAGTCTATCATTCGAATGTGCCGAAATGAGTCTTTATTTTTATTTTGAGATATTCCAACCGATTTATTATTTTGTGATTACTTTAAATCGAGATGGATCCTAAAATTAAGGTTTTAAAACTATTTCAAAGACAGTATTAAGGAGGATCGAACACATATTTTCAATCCTACTTTTTACTTTTTTTTATTCGAGTATCGACATATTGTCTACCTCTTTAGCCACCACGAGCAATGTTGTTACGAGCTACGTTGTACCGATATTGAAATAGGGTATGAGACACGATACATTAACACAATACTCTAACACATTAATTTTTAAAAATAGAGTAAATATCTTTTTCGGTACTCAGCAAATTTTATGATGTCCGCTTTACTCATTAGCAAATAAAAAGGCTATTCGTGGTCTCTACGAAATTCAAAGTAAACTCATTTTAGTTCTTTTGAGGGACTAATGTGGGTCTTTTTTGAATTTGTGAGGGACTACGATTTCAACTAAATGGGTCCATTTTGAATTCCTTAAGGACCACGAGTAGCCTCTTTATTTGCTAGGAACTAAAATGAGCATCGTGAAATTTGCTGAGGACCAAAAAAGATATTTACTCTAAAAATATTAGATTTTGACACGTTTTGATATTAAATAATATTTTTACTTTAAGTAATATATATTATATTTAAGATTCAATAATGTAACAAAAAAAATAAAATTAAACTTATAATATCCAAACATATGTCGTAAATATTTACTATTATGTTTTTAAATTAAAAATTTCTTATACACTTCAATAAGATTTATTCGATATCTATTTTAATTTTTATTATATCAGTTTGGTAAAATATCGATTAATTTCTTTAAAATATTATAAATATTGAAGTGTGTCAAAATATCAGAAGAAATAAAACACTTTAGAATTTTTGAAATGCCAGTGCCACATAGGTCATGAGAGCACAAACTTATAAGGAGAGAAAAAGGAAATTGGAGAAATAGGAATCAAGAATTATATTCACATGTGAACATCGGTTAAACACAACATTATTTATACCTATATTCCTACAACAACTGATATCAACTAGCTACTAACCATTTGCTAATCCTAACCACATTCCCTAAGCTGTTACTAACAAACTACTAAGTTGGAACTTTCCTCCCTCGTATCGTACCGTAACATCCCCGCTGCCCTAAAAAAGAACCTTTTCTTTGTTAGAAATGTGGATTCCAAATTCAAAATATAAATGAATTGAGTATTACAATTTTTTTTTTTTTGTAAAAGTCTTATTCTTGTTTTTAAATTATCATTTTAAGTAAATTATGATATATGGAATGATAATCAATATATTCAAACAATTTACAATATATAATCTAAGCGCTTGATTTTGCGTTTTTCTTATCTTTGATATCAAACTAAGAGCTTATAAAAACTTTGGAATAAGAAGAACCTTGAATGGATCACATAATATGGTTTTTCCTAGAACAGTTGATATCAACTAACTACTAATCATCTCCTGAACCTAACTGCATTTTATGGAAAAAAATTCCATAAGTCGTTACTAACAAACTACTAATTAAATTGGAGCTGAGATAATTTTATCTCTTATACATACATAAAAGTAAGACTTACTAGGTATAATAAATTAATAATATAACATATTTATTTTCACCTATATAGATTTGATTCAAAATCTTAATATTTAATATGTAAAAGGACTTATTAATTAAACCAACTAACATTTTACTTTAGATGCCACTGGTAATTTATAAACAAATTATACACGCACCAATATTGCCAAAAATTAAAAAAATAAATACTCTACAAAAAAGTTGCGTAAACTTATGGAGAGATGTAAATGGACTTGGTTGGATTAAATTTTGGTCTAAATATGCTAGATCTATAAAAAGTGTTTTGAACCTAACTTAATCTATATTTAAAAAAAAAAAATTGACTTAAACCTATTAAGTGTTTAAATTTATCAAGCCTTTAACAATCATCAAAATTAAAAATATATAAAATATTTTTTATTAATTAAAATTATATAAATAATAATTTTATTTTAATTTAATTGAAATAAATAATATAATATACACCAGCCAATAAATTTATAGGCCAAATTTTATTAAAATAGGCTCATAACATATTTTTTAAATAAATTTTTCTATTACCTAAGTTTATTTTATTTTATTAAATATATTAGGTTAAACCATAAACACCTGATAAGGCGTGTGACTCATTTACATCTCTAAATTCTTGTGCCAAGATAGTTTTTTCAACAAAAGAAAATCCACTCCTCCATCTTCCATTCTGCTATGATGAAATGAAGAATACCCTGTTTTGGTAATTTGAATCCGTCAAATCCTATAGCTCACGCCTTCTAGATTTTTGACCAAGTGAAGCAGCTGTTAGATATTCCATCCCCTTTTATTACTAATTACTACTACGAATAATAATAATGACAATCAACAACTAACTAACTAAGTCCCTGTTTGAATCCTCTTATTTTTAAGTTAGAAGTTATTTATAAGTATAAGTTAGGTCAAACAGATTTTGAAAAAAGCTCTTATAACGAAAAACTCTTTTTTTTATAACGAAGAAAAAGCTGAAAATTAAAAGCTAATAGGAGGAGTTTTTTTTTAAGCTCTTATCTGTTTTTCTTGAATTGTGTGTTTTTTTTTAAATGAAAAGTGATAAAGATAGATAAAGATAATTTTCTTGAAATATGTGCTTTTAATTAATTTTTAATCTAAAATTTTTATGTAATTTTCAAACAGTTTTTAGCTTTTTTTTTTAAGTTCTTTTTTTTAGCTTTAGCTTATAAGTAGCTTTTTAAGCCTTAAAGATAAGAAGATCCAAACAAGCTCTAATTAAATCAATTGTTTTATTTGGTAATAATAATGCCAATCAACAACTAACTAACTAATTAAATCAATTGTTTTATTTGGTAATAATAATAGTATTAGTTAAAACTTAGAAGAACTTCAATAGTAACTACTACTATTGCTTGTATTTTAGCTAAATCACCACCTTAGAACTTGTCAAGTTGTCAAAACCTTCTGTTTGTTCATGTAATAAATTAAAAAAAAAAAAAAAACTTATAGAAGAAAAACAGAGAAAAAATAAATAAAATAAAACCAGCATTTTCATCCCTCTCTATGCTGTGTTTCACTTCCATGTTCTTCTGCACCTTAAAAATCAAAATCCCCCTTTATCAATCCAATTCTCTATAAACCCTATATTTACCAATCCCACAGACCAAAACAAAGAAACCCACGACGCAAGCAACAGTTTTTCTGCTCCGAGGTTGTTCGTGTCAGAGTTTTCACCATGTGTTTTCCTCGAGGAAATTGATGATTTTTTTCTGGGTACTGGGTCGTGTTCCGCTTCTGGGGTTACTGTGAAGATCGAAAAGTAACAAGCTTTGGGGTTAAATCGCAGTGGGTTTCTCGAGTATGCACAGATCTGGAGCCACGATGGCTTGGAACGTGTTCAAGTTCTGCACAGCTCTGCGAGGACTGGGTTCGATCATGATACTATTGGTTCTTGGTGTCGTTGGTGTTACTTACTATGCTGTTGTTTTGACTAATTATGTCCCTGCTTTGTACGCTGGAGGGCTTGATTCTCTTATTGCCTTGGCGGTGTTGATCGTGTTTCATTGTTTGGTGAGCTTCCAGAGCTGTTTTTTTTTTTTAATTTTCCTTTTTTTGTTAGTGTTTTGGATGTTGAATGTTTTTGAACTTTTATGATAATTCAGGGTAAGATGTATGTCAATTTATGGGAATTTAGCTTTGCTGCAAACCACTGTCACTTAGGGATCATGATCCTTTATTTGGTTTATATGATGATCTAGAGTGTATTGTTTTGATGATGATATTGAAAAGTGAGTTTTCTGGGTTTCAGTTGGAACATAATGTCTGTTTCCTTATAAGATTTCAATAACTGGCCATTCATTTAACTTCAGCCGTTTGTCAGATTCTGAAATGCGGTATAGATATGTTCAGCTTCTTAGTTAGTTCAATAGATTAATGAGTTGTCGTTTCTTTAGTGTATGAATGAAATGGTATGATAATTTGGGATTTTTCTCATGATTATGCAGTTGGTTATGCTATTGTGGAGTTACTTTTCTGTTGTTTTTACCGATCCGGGGAGTGTACCTCCAAACTGGAGACCTGCAATTGATGAGGAGAGAGGAGAGGCTGATCCGTTAGTTGGGTCAGAATTCGGTAACGTGCAGTCTGATCCTTCCAATCAACGGATCCGGTACTGTCGGAAGTGCAATCAACTCAAGCCGCCTCGATGCCATCATTGTTCTGTTTGTGAGTTTTGGCACGCAAATATTTACATTTTTGTGTTGCCACGTTGAGAACAAGTCAGCATAAGTTTGATCTTTTTTGGTTTGATAACCAGGTGGTCGATGTGTGCTGAAGATGGACCACCATTGTGTGTGGGTTGTTAACTGTGTTGGGGCTCTAAATTACAAGTATTTCCTTCTTTTCTTGGTATGTACACCTTAGCTGGAGTTACTATTTTATTATCTAGTTATTACTCACATGAAGTGCTATTATTTCTGATTTGCAATGAATGTATTTGATGTCTCTGACTCATTTTAGAGCTGTGCTGATAATACTGTGATGTCCACTATTTTATATTACTTGCTGGGTTCTATTATTTTTAAGCTAGAAAGTAGAAGCACATTATAGATTACTTACTTCTACCGTGGTTTAAAATTTTCTTTTCTGTTGTGTATTAAATATAGCCAATTAGCCATGCTATTGAAATTTGCAATGCAGATCAAGCTTTTTTTTTTTTTCTAGAGTTGGATGGATGCTCTTATTTTGAACTGTCGTAGTGATATTCATGCGCAATGGTGTTACACTAATAGTGGTGGATTGAAAGTGGAGCTTAATTATGACAATGCAGAGTGGGTAACCTTAAAAGGAGACTGTTGTTGCTAATTGGATGCATCATGGCTTAGGATAAGCATGCTGTTAGAATAACTGAGCAACCAGAAATTGCAGTTTTATAATCTCACTGTTGTTGTCTATACAGCTAGTCAGCAATTTTCTTTGTGGAGCTAATGTAAATAAGTAATCCTAATTGTGATATTGCTTTGTTTCTTCTGATTTGTCACCTCAGCTGCAATAGTGGATGATGTACTTTTCATCATAGTTATCAATAGTGCGCAATAGCGCTCTATAATGGCGTAATGTCGTGTAGCGGACCCCTCCTGCAATTTTGCCAAAATTGTGGAAAATAGTGGGCTATAGCGCAGCTACTTCAAAGGAAAGGCAAAATACCCTCTTTGCCCCTTTGTGTGCATTATCCAGCAGCAATTTACGGGGCAAAATCAAACTTTCCACCCCCTTTAACCTGATGTATGTTATCGTTATGACCATCTTCTCACAAAAACCTGTTGAGCTCTCTCTCGTCTGGTAACTGATTGCTCTCTCTCTCTCTCTCTCTGGTTTGTTCCGGCAAGACTACCACTCGCTGGTGGTGTTTTGGTCTCTACACTCTCCTGATTCCACAAGAACACCTCAATTTCCACTTTGTTCCTCTGTTCTAGTCACTGCCTTTGTTCCTCTATTTTGAAAGAGACAATATTTAGTGCCTTCTTTTTATGTTTTTTGAATTTTGTTGTTATTGACTTTTGATTGTTAATTATGAATGACCTTAGTTTTGGGTAATTTTTTTTATTTTTGAGCATTTATGTATGTGTAGTATAATTTAGTAAAGCATTTATGTAGATTTCACTGTAGCAGTTATACCCTGACCCGCTATTCCACTATAGTGATTTTGTGGTCGGCCGCTGCGTGATGCTATCCAAAATTGATAATTGTTATTTTTATAAGTTTAAGGAGGTGAGAAAAAATAATTTCTTCTTTCTAAAGAAATAAAGAACGTAGTTTTTTTTTTTTTTGGTAAGGTAATTTTTTTTAAGTGATCACGAGATTGAACCTCACCGCCCCCATTTTCTTGTATATTTTTGTTTTTTAAGTCTAATCCCAATGGATAGATTAATATGAATTTCATTGTAGGTCCTAGCATCATGTGCTTGGCATTTTACCAATGACATGTGCTAAGGCTAACTAATCAGTAATTTTTTTCGGCATTTTTACTTTTATAAGATGTTATGCTGTGATTGTTTTACATTTCATTAGTGTGAGGTGTATGATTTGGCATCTAGTAAGTCTTTATATTTTTCCGATTACTATAACATTGATAATTGTAAACTTGTTTATTTATTTATGGCTGCCAATACAACATACTTACCTTGGTTAATATTATTTGATTAAATCTTAGTGCAGTTCTACACTTTTCTTGAGACCACTCTTGTGACTGCATCCCTGCTGCCGCATTTCATAGCATTCTTTAGTGATGGAGAAATTCCTGGAACGCCTGGCTCTCTTGCTACAACTTTTCTTGCTTTTGGTAGGGTCTTGGAACACAGTTCTAGCTGTTGGTTTCATCCGTCAATTTCTATAACAATGTTGGATTACCTGCAGTTTTGAACCTGGCCTTCGCACTGAGTGTCTTGGGATTTCTTATCATGCACATATCATTGGTGGCTGGTAATACAACCACTATTGAGGTAAACTTTCGCATAAAAATAAGCTCGAGAACTTTTCTCTTTTGTGTTGATTTTGCTCCATTTATTTGGGAAAGTAGATCCCTTATACTTCTTCTGACTTTCACCTAAAGAAACTGTTCTTCTCTTCATTGAATGACAGTATTTAGTTGCATTTTAATTGATAAATATTTTGTGATACATGAACTGTACCCTCTGGTGCAGAGGTAAATGCTTTGTGCTAGTGTGTGTGGTGAAAATATTACGGTATTCTTCCATATAATACTTTCGTATGCTTTTCCTTGTTGTACGAAGGATGGCTTATATGAAGTGGGTACTGATTGAAATTTGTTCCTTGTTGTGAGCAGGCATACGAGAAGAAAACTACTCCAAAGTGGCGTTATGACCTTGGTCGTCGAAGGAATTTTGAACAGGTCTGTGCATGTCGTATTATACGCACATTGTTTTAGATCACTTTCTTTTTATATGTTCATTTTATTGGTTCACTGATGACTATAAGGGGACATGACCTTCTGTAACACCCCTAAATTTCTAACAATTTTCACAACAATAAAATATTCCTATAATAGAGAAAATTTTAAAAAAATAACATTTAACTATTTATTAAGATCTTATATCTATTGCGGAAGCTAATCTAAATCTAATTTGGGGAAATGTTACCGCCGCTAGGGGTGTTAACGAGCCGAGCTTTGGTCTTAACGGGCCGAGCTTGTGTTCAAATGTATCAGACTGGTCTTAGCATGTTACCTGTTACGAATATAATATCAGCCTGTGGCCTTGTTCATTTACAAAAAATAAAAGTCTGGTTTAGCCTGTTAGCCTGTTTTAAAAATATAAAACAACAAAAATTTATCCAAACAAAATATACAATCAACAGCACTAGTAATTTCATAAATATTCATAAATTTAATGTATATCCAAATAGCATAATATAAAATAAAATCATTCAAAAAGTATGTTTAATTAATAAAATGGGATGAAATGAATTGAGAAGAGAGAGAGGGCTATCACAAGTAGTATAAAAAATAAAAAAAAAAATAAAAAAATAATATATTAGGCAAGCCTGAGAGGCTCTAAGGCCGAGCTTTTGAATTGGAGCCTGAGGCCTTTTTATTAAACGAGTTTTTATACAAGTCCAAGCCTGGGTTTAACAATCAATTTTAGACATGTAAGCTCAGGTCTTCACGAGCCGAGCCAAAGGCCCCTGGCTCGTTTAGCACCCCTAACCGCCGCACCTGTACAGGGACAAGTGCCAGGCTCTTTATTACATTCAAAATATGTTTTATATATAAAATTTAGGATTAGCTAAAAATCTCTGAGTAATTATCCTCACTATCCACTGCTAGCCCGATTCCTTGCAACCTGATTTACTGAAAATCTGCTCACCCCGCAGCCGCAGGATCATTGCAGTCAAACAAACACAAAAGTCGGCAGAGCTGGTAATCCAAATCCGATATACAAAAATAAATAAATAAATAAAACTCATAATAATCCAATAAAATAATATAACTCAAAAATTCAAATCAAATATCAACTTGTTATTAATTATATTAATCTTTATTTAATCCATTAGTGTATTTAGTAAGGGTAATTATCAACTAACATATTCAGCACAACATTAATCATAATATTACATAAATGGTAATATTCATAATTCAATGACATTCATCATAATCAAATCAAATAACATTTCATTATTAATCATGTTTAAGTTCATTGTACTTAGTGGGACCGGGAAATAACCCTGTTGCCAGTCTACCCCGTGACCCGGGAAATAACCATTGTTGCCAGCCACGTATCATCAAAATTGGCCATCATCAAAATATCAAATCTTAATGTGCACACCTCTTCCCAAAGTTGCTACTAGTATCCCGGAAAATAACCACTGTTGCCAGATACCACTTTGGGAAGAACAGAAACATCATTGTCACATCAAATAAATATCAAAGGCATAAAGCCCAAAGGTTCTGTTCATCACTTTGGGAGGTACCATCCTAAAGCTATCCTCCCACTATTAATTTATTTCAATCACACACAATCAATCCAATCATGTAACAATTCTCATAATTGGAAATTTTCCTCAAGTAGTTTTTATAATTTTCACATCATTTTAAAGAGGCAAGAGTATAATTTCCAAATTCAATTATCCAAGAATATCATAATTTCCAAATCCATCAGGATAGCATAATTCAACTATCCAACATCTATCAGAGTAAAACCCAAATCCAATCATCATATAAATTATTCATTACACATCGTCCAATCATCATTACACATAATCCTCGATCATCATATCAATTATCCATTACACATAATCCAATCATCATATCAATTATTCAATTATTTCAAGGTATCGATAATATTTTCCACAATTATTCAATAAAATTCATATCGCACATAATCAATTACCCAATCATATCATAATTTTTCAAATCATAATTCAAATATCATATCATAATTCAAACATTTATTACAATAAAGCTCTAATCAGATCAATATTGATATCAATCATTATAGTTATTCAAGGATATCATAATTTAAATAATTCAATTATTCCTATTTATTATCGTTAAAGGGTTAATTTATAAATAAATTTAATTCAATTATTCATACCAAAATAATAATTTATCCTATTAATTTCTAAAGTTAAAAGAAAAAGAATTAATGTAAATACCCTAAAGGTTACATATAACATATGAAAACATCCTAAAATTTCCTAAGGATTAGGATTACATATATCAAAATTCATATCAATATAACCTATGACTCTTTAGGGATTAGGATTACCTTGTCTCCGTTTTTGCTAACTTCTAGAAAAGAATAATTTAGGGCAGAGAACTGGTTGGTAACCAAAAGAAAATAAAATAAAAAACTTTTGAGTAAGAAGAGAGAGAGTAATAGAGGATAAATGTTGAAGAGTGAATTGATTTGGTTAGGCTAGACCTCTATTTATAGTTGAAGTTTTGGGCTCTGATATGAGTTTCGTGCATTTATTTTCTTATTCTTCATTGATGTATCTAGCTCAGATTTTGGCTTTATACACTATTTTATTCTTAATTTCTTTATGGCTCAGAATACAACTAACTTATTTGCTAACTCAAGGCTGACTTATGATTGACTCATCATATCTAATCAAATTACCAATCAAACATTACTAATCAAACATTAATACATAAATCATCAATCAATTAATAAATCAATTAATCATAATTTATCATCTAATATATATATATATATATATATATTTATATATATATACATATATTTATATATATATACATATTAATATTATTTTATTATAAATAATCTAGAGTATTACAAAGTATCAAAATTATTTTCCAATAGCACTCATATCCCACATATATCGCACACAATTATTTTATCAAAATTTATATTATAATTTGTTATCTATAACCATAAAACATATATATATATATTATTACTACTAAGTTATAATTTATTATTATTATTATTAATTTATTATTATTATAAATTACTATTATTTTTCTTGGGTATTACACGTTCAATTAAGAATTTTGGAAAATGACTAAGCTTGCATCTTTGGGAAACAAAACTCAGTATATATTCTTATCCTATTGCTATTCAAGATGTCAGAATTTGAAGATTATCTATCCTATATAATTCAAACAGAAAATACTTGCTGAAGATGTCCTATATATATTAGTTGCAGAAGGTAGTTTTAAATTTGAAAGCTAATTTAGGCTCCAAAGTGTCCAACACATGATCGTGCCTTCTGAATTATTGACCAATACATGATCGAGCCATTTGAATTATTGAAAGACAATGATATCTCTATCTAGCATGAATTAGTTTCAACATATTCTTTTGCCACCATGTTTTCCCCATGTGTTAATTACAATCTAGCTAGTGTAAACTGTAAACTAATACTGTAAACAAAATTTCATTCAGATTCTTAGCCCAACCTCTTTCAAAGTATAATGCTTTGAGCAATGGCTTTTTTTTTTTTTGGGTAAACTTAAGGGAGCAATGACTTAACTTCATGTGATATGTGTTGGTTTTTCAAAAAATGAATACAAATATTCACTTATGTGTGTTGATGTTTGCAAAGGAACTAGATATTATTGCCATATTGTAGATATTCTGATGAAGGTATGACTTTTATATTACATTTCTGTGAACAAAAATAGAAAATATTTTAATCTAATCTTGTTTACACTTTCCAAGGAAGTGTAGACGCTTAAAATATTTATTTATGTCAGCAGTATATTGGAGCCTAGTCTGTATCCTATAATTTTTGTACTAATACGAGTGGGATATGTTGTGCTTACAATTAGTTTTGTAAATATGATATGAATAATTGTATAATTATTATAGTTTCGTATTTCCCTTTTATTAGACAGATTATGATAGGACAAATTATAGGGAAGATATGTTATAGATTGCTTTGTATTTTTTCCCTTAGAATCAACTCTATAATAGGAAAACAATTATTCTCTGTAGTTTTATTTTGTAAATATCTGTGCATGAACATTCATGGAATAATATTAAGTATTTTTCCATTCAACCATGAGCAATGCCAGCTTTTGATAATTAAGGAGCACTTTGACACCCCCGAGAATTGGTTTAGAACTGTTTAAGATAAACTAGTTATATAATTGTTATTTTTTAAATAGTTTTGATTTATCCTTAGTTTGTGGCTTAAATCAATTCTAAAATCATATACAAATTTAAAATTAAATTTATGGGTGAGGATCATTTTGCACCCGTATAAGTTACACTTTCATTCTTGGTTGTTGATCTTATTTATATCTAATGATTCTAATTTATTAGATGTGTGTGCCATTAATGGCTATGATTTGGTATAAAACTTCTTCTTACACCATTGTAGGAATAACCTACCCCATAAATATATATTGAGAGAGAAAGTTGACAGCGAAAGCTTTAATTTAAATTTTAAGAGAAAGTAAAAGATAATGTAAAAAATAAAACAAAAATATAGAAGAAAAATAGGAGTCATTGATAACAATATAATACAATAAAACCAATTTTACATTTTTTTTTTTCTGAACTACTTTTAGCTTGAAAATGAATTGATCAGATAAGAACTAGTTTTTAATGCTTACCAAACACCTGGAATTTAAAAAGTCAGGCCCCATATGACCTAATCTTCTAGTTTTTTGAGTTTGGCAAATACAGCCTTAATGTCTGTTTTAATATTTTTTTAGGATTTTTGCTAGGAACGAGTAGTAGTAATGCTTACATTTTAAACTCAGATGCTCGTATTAGGAATTGTGTTTCTAACTTAGAATTTGGTTGTTATTCTTATATTAATCTTAAATTATACCTTAATCACGTCCTATGAATAATATTAAGTGATATAAAAATATAAAAGCATTCATTTGTGTTAATTTAGTAACTTAAGTTTTTAGAATAGTTGGTTCTTGATATTCTAAATGAATGTTAAATTTCAAGCAAGGTTTGGTAAGTCTGTGCATATTTTTATTGAGATATATAAAATCATTAAAAAAACCCTCACCCACAAGCTTAAGGTTTTAGGTTGAATTGATTATTTTCATGGTATCAGAGCTTCAGTGATCACAAGGTTACGAGTTCGATCCTCACTGCCCCTACTTTTAGGTGGAATTAAGAAAAAACACAAAGTAGACCAAAAAAGTGGGCTTGTGCCATATCTACGCCGTGAGGGAGTGTGTTAGAGAAATATAAAATAATTAATTTAGCCTCACCCAATATCTTAAGGTTTTGGATTGAAATGACGCTTATTAAAGCTTATATTCACTCTTCAAACCTAGTAGACTCTTGTATGTAGAGGCATGTTAAAGATATAAAAATATAAAACCATTAATGTACCAGTTACCTAACAATTCAAGTTTTGGGGGGACTGGGATCTTCTCTCGTTCTTGAATAAGTATAATATGGTTTTGTTTGGGAGAGGAATACATAATTTTTAAAAAATATAATTAGTGGATCCTATAACCTATTATTATAGGTCATTGCATGATGAAATTTATATATCTCTCTCCAATAGGACCATATCATGTTATTCAGGAGCAGGAAAGGATCCGAACCGTGTTTGGAATAGTTGTTCATGGCAAATAAATGTGTTTGTAGACCTTGTGAATTGTGATATTTTTCGTTTTTATTCTCTGGGGTATCTACATGGTTGATGGGATGCTCTAATTGACTAATTCTGTTATTATTATTGAATAATATAGGATCTACAAGTTAACATTATGATTTATGTTGTTTTGATATCAGGTATTTGGGATGGACAAGAAATACTGGTTCATCCCTGCATATTCAGAAGAAGATATAAGAAGGATGCCAGCTCTACAAGGTCTTGAATATCCATCAAAACCTGACTTTGATTCCCAATAATTCTAAAAGCTAATATATTTACATCATGTAACAAAAGACATGGACACTCCACAATCCTCTACTTTCACTCTCTAACAGAATCTAGCCTTGGTACCTCCTCATCTCCACAGACAATTAGTATCATTTTTTTTTTAAAAAAAAAGAAAAGAAAAGAAAATGTTATTTCATGGTGCTTGTGTCAAGTTGAAATGAAGGTAGCAATGTTGGGCAGGGTGGTGTGATGGTTTGACGGGCTAATGTTATGAACTGTTCGTCAAGCAATGCAGTTTTCTTACTTTCTTGTATTATTTATTTTTGATTAAACTAGCAATTCAGTGCTTATGAATTTATTCTCCGCTTACAGTTTATTTTATGAATTTAATTAATGCTTGTGAGTTAGTCCCTAAATTTATGAAATTTGTATTAACATAGTCCTGAAAAGAATTAAGATGATACTAGTTATTTGAGGGATAACTCATACACATAATTAAACATATACTTAAATTTAAGGTCTAAAGTAAAAGTAGAGAAAATTTTAAGATTAAGTTGCTGATTTACTAATTTAATTTTTCATTTTTATCTTCTGGTGAAGCATTGGTATTATAAATGACAGTTGATTGCAGATTTAATATCAATTTATTGCTCTGCATTCTACATGTCATTTACCAATTTGTAAGCTTTCTGAAGCAAAATCTCTCTCTCTCTCTCCCCCAGTGTAACGCCTTCTGTTTTATTATTTTAACCGAAAGGAATCAAAAACTGATTTTTTTTATTTTTATTTTTTACGATCCAAGAAATTGGCTCTATTTAAATCAGAGCCATAGTCACACAGTTTCAAGTTTCAACAACTCGATTTTGTGGATTTACTCTGATCCTGAGCCTTACATAAACAAACCTTATGCTTTTGTTATAGAGTTTAACGATGTTATAGAAGATAAAATTATCTTCTATATATATATATAGAAATATGCGGGATTTATATTTCTTTTTATCTCTATTCTTTTCATATGATCCCACATATTTATATATATTTATATATATGAGAGCTCCTACATTGTTATATACCGTTTTTAATTTGGGCCTTGTTTCCTTACTTTCAAAAAAAAAATTGTCTTAGTAGAGTACTACGTAGTCAGAAAATTATGGTCATTAATAGAGTACTAATTTAATTTTTATTTTTTTAAATATCATGTGGTATTAAAAAGTGGCATCGTGTTCAAATCAAATACCATGTTACGACTTATGACTTATGAGGGACCTCGTAATAAAATTTTGAATCGGATTAGGAAAAAGAGAGAAATAGAGCGAGCGCCAGAAGGTTCTAGCTTTTGTGAAACGAATGGAAGTAAAATCCACGTGTCGTTCCCTCCGTGTCGTGTCTCTACCATATAAATTGGTCCCGTTTGTTTTGTTTCAAACTACGAATCAAGCTTAGAATGTTCTGTTCGTTCTGGGCTTCTGGCTTCTTCTCTCCCTCAATTAAAATCTCATCCTATTCGTGAGGTAACTTAATCCTATTATTTAATTCTTCTGTGCGTTCGAAACATTCACAATTGCATTAATTGTTATGTCATATGTAACAATTTTTTTTGCTACATGCTTCTCAAGTCTATATGTAACAATTATTTCTTTGTGACAATTTTTCTTAATGCTTATTTTCCCAAACTTATTTTGTAGTGTGGATTTTTTTTAATGTATATGTTTAGTGGTATAGTCTGAAACTCTGAATTGCAAATTTTATATGATTTTTTCCTTTGTGAAGATTAGATAAGGAATATGAAGAAGAGTAGAGAAGTTCGAGATGATATTTTTGAATCAAGTGGGCATGGAGATTTTGGTGGCTTTGGATTCCATACAAGTATGATGCCAACTCTTTTTGGAGGCAGGGATCCATTTGATGATCCTTTTTTCACTGACCCATTTGGTAGCATGTTTGGTTCAAGTTCTGCATCTAGAGCAATGCAGAAGACAAATAGAGAAAAAGGAATAGTTATAGAAGAATTATGCTCTGATGATGAGGGGATCCATAATTTCCCTGAAACTGAAGACGAGGAGGATTTTGATCACAAAAATTCTAGATCAACCATGGAACCATCTGTTGAGCATCCAGATGATGATGATGTTAATGGTAATATACTGATTTCTGTTATTGTTTTATTGTTCTATAAGGTCTTTCGCTTAACTTGTTTTACTAATTTATATACTTCTTTGTGTGAAATCTAGAGGAGAGGAAGAACAGTGATGTAAATTATAAGAATGACCATTACACCTTTGAACCCACAAAGACTCGAAATTTTTCTTTTCAGACTAGCAGAGTAACATATGGTGGTATAGATGGTGCATATTATAGTTCTACTAGAAACAGAAGGATAGGGGCTGATGGGGTATGTAACTTCCTCTTACTATATCAATTGTTGTGAGGATTATTTTTTGGCTCTAATGTTATCTTTGTGAATCAGGCTGTAATAGAGGAAAACAAAGAAGCCGACTCGATAACAGGCCAGGCAGCACATAGGATCACCAGAGGAATCCATGACAAGGTGTGTATATCTGATTTATCTAAGAATGCACTCCTCTAGTAACTAGTATCATAATGTTAGAATTAGACAAAATAAGTGTCATCAAATGTATTACGTATGCAGTAAACTTCAAGGAGGCTAATAATTGTTATGATGTTGGCTTTCTTAAACAAAACCTTCTATTATAAAAAAGGGAAAAGTTGTTGTCCTTTTTTGTTTTGCCATTGGTACAATCAATATGTGGTGCTTGCTTTCTGCTCAGGCTTTTGTCCTCTTGTGTAACTTCTGTATTAGTATAGAAAGAAAATGAAGAATTTGTTTTAAATATAGAAATTAAGCTTTTGTATCATGTATGTAGGGTCATTCAGTTTTGAGGAAGCTTGACTCAGATGGTAAGGTTGATACCACGCAGACACTGCACAATCTTAATGAAGGTTAGTTCCTGCTATCTTCTTTGGTTATTTGTTTGACAATTTAAAGAATGGTAAAAAAAAAAATTGCTTTCAATATTTGATGTACTTATTTGTTTTTGAATATTTCAGATGAGCTTGCAGGCTTTGAGGAAGCATGGAAAGGAAATAATATGGGGAAGTTGCCTGGATATGATGTGCATAAGAACAAGGGTAAGCTTTCTTTATTCTGTTTGAGTCATTAATGTATCCTGCCTGACCTGTACTCAAGTCAAGTTTTTTTTACTTGAAATTTACGTTTAAGAGTCTTGGGGCAACTTAGGAAATTTTTTGAGAAATTTCTGGTTTGTGAACATGAGAAAATTATGCTTTTCGTATTGCTATGTGCTTATTTGTTGTTATTATTTATATGGTTTAATCTGTGGCTGGAATCATGATGCAAAATAATTTGAACCTAATCTTGATTGCAAATTGTCAATCTGTGCAGAGCGGGTATTTATTTGATGAGCTTGTATATAGAAGTTATCATATAGTTTTTCTGTATAAAAAAAAAAAATATGACCTTTCATAATTGCATGACCTTGATTTGATGGGATGGAAGTAATCTTTGTATGCAGCCTTGCCTTTGCGTAATTGCAAAGAGGCTAGATCCTGGATTCGAACCCATGAAACTTCAATAATGAAAAAGCAGCTTTACCACCGCTCCGATTCGCTCTCTTAATAGTTTTTCTGTATAAGGCAAATTATTTACAGGGCATTTTAGAATGATTCTCAGGATGAAATTTCTATTGCAATATTCCTATTTACAAGTGATGTTTAATTTCAAATTTCATAATGAAATAATTGTACTTATGTTCCACCTCCCCCTCCCCCCCTCCTCTTTTACACACAAAATAAATAAATAAATAAATAAATGCCCTCCCACCCAATGAGAAAATAATAAAGGTTGCACAAGGACAAAAAAGATGTTTCTCTTCTTTGGTTAATTGCATTAAAAATTTCAATACTCTCCACACTATGCTGCTGGATTGTTTTAAATAAACGTAATGTTTTGCCAAAGCAAACTTTTCTATGTTATTTTTTATATTTTTAATGTACAATTTATTTGATCTCCGTTACAACTAGTAAAATGTATGTTGAGTTTATTACGTCATGAACTAAACATACCTCTTCTTGGCAGATGTTTATGTTGATTTTATATCATACTTCAAACATTTTACAGTTGCGATGTTTCCTTTTTTTAATTACTTTTTGTGCCAAAACATTGTATGGATGGTTCCTGCAACTGCTCGATTCATCTTGTCTGTAGTTGTGAGACATATATCACGCTACTTGTGTGCTACTTATATAATGGACTTAGATGTTCAATGCTGTTGGCATCTAACTACGTAGATTGAGATTCAAGCAGCAGGGACTGACATAGGAATGTAAGTATATAAACATGATTCTACAATTGAGCGAGTGGTGCATAGCATTCTTAACTAGTCCCATGCTTTATGTTCTTGCCTAGTTTTCTTTTTCTTTCCACATTTAACTTGGCTACTAATCTTGTATGAGTAAACATATAGCCTATACATGGGGCGTGCTTCTGTGTACTGATTGATGATAGACAACATAGATCTGTTTCCATGGTTGTTTAAGTTGTCTGTCAATGTTCCAACATATGTTAAACCATTGTTTCTTCAGGACTGTTTTTTAACATGAACTCATTAATTTAAATATTCCCTGAATTTAAAACATGACTATGTTGTAGGTTCTGGCTGTGGTAATCAGAACAGAAACCAGGTTTGGCCAATTGCATCTTTGGAGCAAGCTAGAAGAGCTAGAGGATTTGCATCAAATTATGAAACAGGAACCAATTCCGAGGGGAGAACAAAGAAAGTGGTTAGAATCAATATTGAGTGAAGCATGAGACATGGTAGTTGGATTTGGTTGTTGATCGTCTTCAATTATTTGTCAATGCAGAATGTGGTTTTTGCTCGGGTGTTTTAGTTAGCAATATAAAAGCTTGGGCTTGTACAATAAGAGCGTATTATTTGTTTGATGGTATAATAAAAGTTGACATTTGGAGAATACTCCTTTCATTTTAAAATTATTGTCATTTTAGAAGTTTCAAATTTTGTCATTTCATTTTATGTTTGTATTTTAGTATTTCGATTAAATAGAAGGGAAAACTTCAAAAAAAATATTGTGTAACTTTCTTCATAATCATTTACCATTTCCTTAAAATTTTAAATCATTTATCCTCCTGACTTAAAGTTTTTTTATCATTTAGCTCCTTAAGTGAGAATAAAGAAATTTTAAATGAGGGGGTAAGTGATAAAAAAAATCTAAATAAAGTTGTAAATGATTTAAAAAGTTTGTGAGGGGGTAAGTGATAATTCAAAAAATTTATAGGAACATTTGTGAAATTTTCCCTAAATAGAATGAAAGAGCGGTGAGTAAAGTATTTTTAAAAATGTAATTTTTTTTTTTTAAATAAATAGCTCGATGTAACACTTCAACTATTTTTAACAGAATGTGCCTAGGTTCTTTTGCTGATATTTCCAAAAGAAAGAAAGGATATTGAATGTGTCTATCAAGAAAAAAAAAATAAGAAAGGATATTGAATGTGTCTATCAAGAAAAAAAAAAAAGAAACGATATTGAATGTAAGTGCCATTCTTTGTTTAGCAAACGTGCCTAATTTATGGAAACTTTTGGATCCGGTTTGAAGTGAGCGATTGGAGTAGAAGGGTACTGCCATCAGCTTATGGAAATCAATAGCGGATTCATCGCACAAAAACTACATGTTCGTAGTTGATTTTATTGGAGCGTTAGTATTCATATGATGTTAGATTTTATGAAGATGACAAAGGCTGAAGGTACTTTGTGATAACACATATTCCAATAATACAATTTATCTATTTGTCTTGAACCAAGTTCGCAAATGGAATGTAGATAGGAAATATCAACCTCAGGAGGATTTATTGGAATCTAGCAGTAGAGTATTTTTTGATTAGAATATACAAGTTTCCAACTTACCTAAATGTATAAGTAGCACCATTTGAATGCATTTTATCATTTCATAAACAAGATAAAAGTGGTTAAATTAATGGGAAAAATGTTTCTCCTTCTTCTTGAGATAAAAGTATTTCTAGTGATCCAAAATTACATGGTTTGGATAATTGACAGAATTAATTATGGATATTTTTGAAATTTTGTTTATTTCTTTGTTATATGAATTTTACCAAAATACTATTCATTAATTCTCTCAACCTTTAAAATGATGTAATTTTAAGGTTGCTGGAAGTAAATTTATCGGATGGAGAAATGATAAATTCTAAATTAATTAGTAAATAATTTTAGAGAATAACATTTTTTTGGCAACTCTAAAACGACATCATTTTAGGGGTTTGAAAAAAAAATGTGTTGCATTTTAAAAAATTTCATGTTCTATAACATTATCTCCTGCATATTGTTGGGAAAATTCGGTTCCCTCAAGCTCGGCTCAGGGGCCTTTGTGCGGAAGTCAATCAACAAGATCCTGATCTTGGATCTCGGCAATACCTCAGCCTGAACTGCACCAGGTCAGGCAGCGCAGCGGAAAAATCAAAACGTAAACATAGGAGAGAGAGAGAAGAAGAACACAACCAGATTTAACGTGAGAAAACCTTCTCCAATGAAGAAGTAAAAACCCACGGGACCTAGTCCAGATCAGTCCACTATGAAAATAATAGTTACAAATAATCAAATACACCAATATGGTGGTTAACTCAACCTCTCCAACAATGGTGATAATCAAACTACCCTAGAGATGTTTCACTCAAACTCTCTCTCTAGAGATCTTTCAAATGCAAAGCATAAAGCCTTGCTCAAACAATCAAATTTGTTCTCTCAAATCTAACCTAGCCTCCACCCTCAACTAATGAGTATATATAGAGGAGGTGGAATTTATGGTTAGGGTTTTTAGGAAACCCCTCAAATGAGCTTGGGCTTAGCATTGAAGGAGGAAGCCCAACAAATCTCCCCCTCTGACTTCAATGCGTCGGCTTCAACATCAACCCGGCTTCTTCACAACAGTCTTCAAATTTTCTTGCTGGAACCGGCTTTGTCATCATGTCGGACCAATTTTGGTCAGTGTGCACCTTGACGAGTTCGAGCTCTCCACCTTCCACCACATCCCGGATCCAGTGATACCTCACGTCAATATGCTTTGTGCGAGAGTGATAGGTTGAATTCTTCGCAAGATGAATTGCGCTTTGATTATCACAACCCAGCTCGTACTTGTCTTGGTCATGGCCGAGTTCCATGAGGAACTTCTTCATCCACAACATCTCTTTGCTTGCCTCAGTAGCGGCAATGTACTCAGCCTCAGTTGTCGATAGTGCAACACACTTCTGAAGTCTTGATTGCCAAGAGACAACTCCTCTGGCAAATCTCATCATGTATCCCGTCGTCGATTTCCTCGAGTCGGAATCTCCCCCTAAATCAGAATCCGAGTAGCCTTGCAACTCGGCTTTGCCTTCTCCAAATCGGAGACATAAGTCGGCCGTACCTCGGATGTACTTGAAGATCCACTTCACTGCTTCCTAGTGCTCTTTGTCGGGGTTTGACAAATACCGGCTTACCATTCCAATAGCATACGCCAAGTCGGTTCTAGTGCAAACCATTGCATACATCAGGCTTCCGACAGCGGATTGGTAAGGGACCTTCATCATCTCATCTTTGTCTTCATCAGATCTCGGACATTGCTTTTGGTTCAGCTTTATGTGTCCGGCAAGGGGGGTGCTCACTGTTTTGGCTTTGTCCATGCTGAATCTCTTCAGAATCTTCTCAATATATTTCTCTTGACTCAGCCACAGTAGCTTCTTCTGTCTATCTCGGATAATCTTTATTCCGAGAATCTGCTTTGCAGGGCCGAGGTCCTTCATGGCGAAGGACGAGCTCAACGCCTTTTTCAGGGCAGCTATCCTCGATTTGTCTTTCCCTACAAGAAGCATGTCGTCAACATATAACAACAAGATCAGAAAGTCTCCTGCCTCATACCTCTTCACAAATACGCAGTGGTTGCTTCAGTCTTCTTAAACTTATGATCGGTCATGAATGATTCAAACTTCTTATACCACTGCCGAGGTGCTTGCTTCAAGCCATAAAGGCTCTTCTTCAACTGACATACCAAGTCTTCTTGGTCTGGAGCTTGGAATCCTTCAGGTTGCTCCATATATATTTCTTCTTCTAAGTCACCGTGAAGAAATGCCGTCTTCACGTCCATTTGTTCTACCTCGAGGTCCTTCGAAGCCGCCATGGCTAACACGGTTCGGACCGAGGTCATTTTCACCACAGGAGAAAAAATCTCCTCAAAATCAACTCCTTTCTTCTGATTGCAGCCTTTCACTACAATTCGGGCTTTGTATCTCGGCTTTTGCCCGTTCTCTTCATTCTTAATCTTGTAGACCCATTTGTTTTTCAAAGCTCGTCTTCCTTTTGGCAACTCAGTCAACTCATAAGTCTGATTCTCGTGCAGAGACTTCATCTCGTCTTGCATTGCCTTTTCTCATTCTTCTTTCTCTGAGCTCTTCACAGCCTCATCATAACTCTGAGGCTCGCCGTCTTCAGCAACAACGGTGTATTCATCAGATGGGTACCTTGTAGAGGGTCTTCTTTCTCGAGTTGGATATCTCAGTTGTTCTTCAGCTTGAGAAGCCGGTCCATCATTCTCATCCCGGATCTCATCATAAACTCGAACCTCAATATCTTGGTCATCTTCAGCTTGTTGCTGGTCATCAATTTCTTCATTCTCTTGATTTTCTCCCCCTGCTTCAGCTCGGGCAGGAGGGACGAGTTCTTCACGTCTGACAGTAACCCAGGCTTTGGGCTTCGAGATGTCATGAATGTTCTCATGCTCATGAAAGATCACATCTCGGCTTCTCACGATCTTCTTATTGATTGGATCCCAAAGTCGAAACCCGAACTCACATCTCGGCGAACCAAGATAAATGCATTCTTTAGTCTTTGCATCAAGTTTGGCCCTTTCATGTTTAGGGATATGCACGAAAGCTCGGCATCCAAACACCTTCAATTGATTATAGGCCGCTTTCCGACCTGTCCAGGCTTCTTCTGGAATTTCTCCTTCAAGTGGTCGTGATGGTGAGAGGAGGTTGATCAAGTCAACAGCTGTTTTTACGGCTTCTCCCCAGAATGATTTCGGCAATCCGGCATTGGATAACATGCTTCGGACCTTCTCTTCAATAGTTCTGTTCATCCTCTCAGCAAGTCCATTCAGCTGAAGTGACTTTGGGGGCGTCTTCTCAAGTCGAATTCCGGCCGCTCTGCAGTATGCATCAAATGGGCCGCAATACTCACCACCATTGTCAGATCGGACCACCTTCAATTTCTTGCCAGTCTCCCTTTCAACCATCGCATGGAATTCTTTAAAGAATTGGAGTACCTGGTCTTTAGTCTTCAACAAATATACCCACACTTTGTGGGAATGGTCATCAATAAATAAAACAAAGTACTGAGCTCCTCCGAGGGATCTTTCCGACATGGAGCAAACATCAGTATGGACGAGGTCAAGAATATTCCTGCATCGTCTAGGTTGATCCGGTCTCACAAAAGAGACCCGGTGCTGCTTTCCAGCTAGGCAATGCGTGCAACTCTCCAACGCTTGGCCTTTCAGCCCAGTCAGTAATTCTTTCTTTTGCAGGATTTGGAGCCCTTTCTCGCTCATGTGGCCGAGACGCTTGTGCCATAGCTCCAAGCTAGGTTCATCTCGGACAGAGTTGGCTTCTCCGCCATTGATCTTTCCTTGCATCACGTACAAGGAGCCTTCCTTCTTACCTCGGGCCACGACCAAGTTTCCCTTGGTCAGCTTCCATCTCACACTACCGAAGTAGTTCACTAACCCGGCATCATCAAGTTTGCCTACCGAGATTAGGTTCAAACGCATGTCAGGAACATGCCTCACATCTTTCAACACAAGTCGGCATTCGACATCTGTGGTCAGAGTTACATCACCGACACCAACAATCTTGCTGGTCACTTGATTTCTCATCTTCACGACTTCAAAATCACCACCTCGATAAGAGGAAAAAAACCTTTGTGTGGAGTAACGTGGAAGGAGGCACCAGAGTCAACAATCCAGGTGCAGTAATCATATGCAACATTCAAATAATTATCCTCACCAAGGAGGAATATCTCGACATCCGGGTTGGCAGCCACCGCAGTGGTGCTCTTGTCTTCCCTCTTCTTGGGAATAATCTGATCCGGCTTCACAGAGCCGTTCTTCTCGTCATTTTGCAGGGTACATCAGTCTGGCTTCTTATGACCTGTCTTTCCACAGTAAAAGCACTTCAACTCATATTTCGGCTTTGACCGACCTCTGGACTTGTCTCGTCTGTCACGACCTCTACCGCGGCTCTTACTTCTACCACGGGAGTCAGATTTCCCTTTGTTCTCAGCAACGTTGGCCTCAGACGTACTCGAAATACCTCGTTCTCTTCTCCTAGATTCTTCGCCCAGGAGGCTGTCTGTCACGACATCCATCTTCAATTTTCCATCTTGAGTCGAGTTATTCAGGGTCACCACCAGAGTATCCCAGCTTTCTGGCAGCGAGCTCAACAGCAGGAATGCCTGCAATTCTTCATTAATTTTCATATCAGCCTTTGACAGCTGATTCACAATACCTTTGTAGGTGTTCAGGTGTTCAATCATGCTCATACCGTCCTTGTATTCAAGCTTAACAAGTCGGCGAACCAGATGTGCTTTTTTCCTGGGAGTCTTCTTCTGAATTATGGACTCTAATTTCGTCCACAACTCATACGCGTTCGTGAATTCGGACACGTGCTCAAAGAGGCTTTTATCAATATATTTCCTGATCGTGGCTACCGCCTTCCGACTCAGGATTTTCCACTCCTTATCAGTTTTTCCTGCCGGTCTCTCATCAAGGATAATGGGCTCATGCAAATCTTTGCAGTAGAGATGATCTTCCATCATCGGTCTCCAATATGTGAAATTGTCTGCGGTCAACTTGAACATATCTCCATCATGAGTTATGCCACTGGTCTCCATCTCGTCTCCCTCAGAACCCGTCGAACTCGGGCTCTGATACCACTGTTGGGAAAAATCGGTTCCCTCAAGCTCGGCTCAGGGGCCTTTGTGCGGAAGTCAATCAACAAGATCCTGATCTCGGATCTCGGCAATACCTCAGCCTGAACTTCACCAGGTCAGGCAGCGCAGCGGAAAATTCAAAACGTAAACACAGGAGAGAGAGAGAGAAGAAGAACACAACCAGATTTAACGTGGGAAAACCTTCTCCAATGAAGAAGTAAAAACCCACGGGACCTAGTCCAGATCAGAAATCCACTATGAAAATAATGGTTACAAATAATCAAATACACCAATGTGGTGGTTAACTCAACCTCTCCAACAATGGTGAAAATCAAACTACCCTAGAGATGTTTCACTCAAACTCTCTCTCTAGAGATCTTTCAAATGCAAAGTATAAAGCCTTGCTCAAACAATCAAATAATTCTCTCAAATTTGTTCTCTCAAATCTGACCTAGCCTCCACCCTCAACTAATGAGTATATATAGAGGAGGTCGAATTTAGGGTTAGGGTTTTTAGGAAACCCCTCAAATGGGCTTGGGCTTAGCATTGAAGGAGGAAGCCCAACAAATATATATAAAAGAATGAAAAGCCTATATCGAGCCATGTGAAGAGGGAGGAGAGAAAGAGAAGATATGGATCTCATACATTTTTATACGTGTAAGAGATAATTTTATTTTCTATAATATATGAAACGTTAAACCTTTTATTTTATCAAGGAGTCTTATTAAAGTATTTTTATTTTCTGTGTCACCAAGAAAAAATGATTTTTATTTAAGTACTTGTAACCTTTACAATGACTACAATAGGAGGGAAGCGAGAGAAAGGAACCAAGACTGTTTAGAATTTTTTTTTTTTAATCCGCTCATCGCTTCGTAATTAATTCAATTTGAGGCAGATTTATTATTAAGGGGTACGGTTGAAAATGATATTTGATGATATATTTTTCGTTAGTGAAGTTATTATTAGATCCTTATTAATATTTATAAATAGTATCTTTTTTTTGAAAAAAAAAAGTTCATTTGGAAAATCTATTAGCTCGGGCTGCTTTGCGCTTTAGATAACCCATCAAAATGGTAATTTCATCAAGATTTAAGTTGCATTTAGATTTGTGTTAACAAGTCACCTACCACTTTGGATTACTAAGAATATTTGTTAACAAAGGGTTATTTTGCAAACATCAATTACAATTAATCATTTCCATTTATTATTATGATTATTATTTTACAAATCATTGTTTTATAATTTCTTGCGAAAGGATAATTCAAAGAACAACGTTAAATTGACCAATATAAAATATATGTCTAATATAAGAGATGAGGACTAAATAAAAAGATTCATGTTGAATGGTCCGTTAAATAGACCAAAAGAGATATTTAATTATTTAATTCTTTAATTCTTTAAAAGAATCAATGCATGTATAATAGCAAACAACGAGATATTCCTTGCGTCCGATATGGGGGGGTTCAAAGAAGCAACATGGACTTGAGTAATTTTCAGGTTATAATTTTTTATTCATAAAAGTAACTTATAACATTTATTAAATTTCATTTGCCATGATTATTAAAATTTTATTATACCTATAACATGAGATCTATTAGTCATTGCATAAAATTCAGAATAAAATCCTCCCAAAGCCATTAGAGTCTGCAAGCCAATTTGAGATGTACACACAAATAAATCTTTTATTATCAATGAAAATAAAAATTATGATTCCTTAAAAGGATGATAATCTGAAAAAGAAAAATAAAACTCATATAATATAACATTAATATAATATTATATATATATATTATTGTAATAATAATAAGTCTTACACCAAATTTTAATAGTTGATTTTTGTGAATCTAATAATTATTGAGTTATTTTTATTATAAAAATTTAATTCTCAATAAATTTTAACTGTTATATTTATTAAATATCAATGGTTAAGATTTAGTATAAGAGTTATTATTTTTATTTCATATATATATATATTGTCTTATAGTACTAATTATTAATTATTTATCACATTTTAATTAGGTGAGATGATAATGACTAGTAATAATAACTATAAGAATTGTTGGTGTCCAATAATCATTCAGAGGACAAGTGTTTTTACTTCCGGTGTTGAGGAAGTCCAGGTGTTTTATATGCTCAAATAAAATATAAAATAACATTCTCTGATTTCGGGACAGAATTTGACCATAGTTTAATGTAGCTATATTATTTTGTAGCTTGAATAAGATTTGGACGGTGATCAAAATATAGTGTCCTCCTATATTTTGATTACGTGGGTTTTCCGGGCATATAAAGACCCTGACATAGGAGACTGCCCCACGCCACCACCTCTGCATCTATAATTAAGTTTTGGAGGTAAGTTTAATTGAGAATTCCACTGTCAGTATTAGGGGTTTATTAGAATATTTTCATCGTTTAATTTTTTTGAGTCGATTACGAGATTAATTTCGAAACGGGATTTAATTATAGTTAAAAAATTTCGCCGTTCTTCAAAGATATATTTGTTTGAACATAGATCCTCTCCATTTCTAACTATTCAATTTGTACTGTCAACTGAGTTATATTCATTGGATATTGTGTGCTACTAATGAATGTGAGTGGTGTATAAGAAATGTATAATAAAATCATATATATGTGTCTTCACCTAATGTGTTTGCTTACCAATATGCTCTGTGATATTCTACGTGTGGCCTCTGTATTGAGTGGCAAATTTTTAGTAATATCTAAACTCTTTAATTTTATTTAATTAAACCATAAGGAAATGTTAAATTATTTCAAAAGTGGATATAGATTATAACGTATATTGGGTTGAACATTACATATCATATCAATTTTTTGAGCTTCTCAGTAAATTAACAAGTGTTGAATCAAAAGAATTTGCATCGTGTTACTGTGTTGTGTTGTGTTCAAGGTTGCTACTCTGGACCCTCGTGAAAGATCTAGCTAGCTTGGATCACTTAATTAATTTAAGAGAAAAACTATTCTTATGTCACATGACATAAGTTTTCTCTTCTACACACTCTTCGATAACTGTGCCACTTTTTTTTTTTTTTTTTTTCAGGTGGTAGAGCCCACTAGTTTGTGTCTATGACATGAGATAACTATCTCCTTTAACATGAGATTAATAAAACCCTTAATTTAATCCAACGGTTGCAATCTGGTGGAAAAAATTCAAATCAGATCTTAACCAGATTCCACCTTCATCGAGATATAGCTACGAAAAGAAAAGCAAATTCCTTCCCATAACGCCAAATTTTGTATGTATGTTGGGGAGAATCCACTATGCCAAATATATATATATATATATATATATTCTAATTGGTAAATGTTTGGACGGCAAATTCAGAGAATCTACAATAGCAACCTCCCTCAGTTGCTTCCAAACTCAAAAAGTCTAAAAAAATTCATTGAATGAGCAGTATAAGCTATGGTTTTCTCACCACTTTTATTTATATATATAATGTTGATGGCTCATCAACAACTTGAAGCAATTGTTTTCTTATCAAAGATATCTTCCAAATTTAAACCCAAAGAAGTCTGCAATTAGAGGAAAACACATCAACAGAGCATGTCTGGTTGGTCAGCTGAAAATGCCAAGAGAGCTTATCTCCAGGCACTCAAAATGGTAAGCAACAACAGCAGATAATATACTTGGAATCTGTTTTACACTTTGAAAATTCCAATACGGTTTTCTCTCATGTTTCTCCTTATTGTAAGATAAATTTCTAGTCTTCCTTAGTATATTTACAGTTTTTACAGTTCATGGAATCACCTAACTACATTTATATTGCTTTTCTTGACAACTTTTTCCATTTCTGATGTCACGTAAATCCATATGTCATAAATCCTTTCTTTTAATTAAATCCGGTCTGGTTCGAGTCCTGTCAGACGCATATTGGGGACAACTCTCCTGATAATATTTTCTCCATTTTCAGGACTCAAATTCGAGACCTCAAGTTAATAGGAAGAACTAATAATTATTGATCCTATGTTATAATTTAAGTGAGTGTAGTATGTAGTATGTATTACAGGACTAACAATTTATCCCTTGTCAAATGCTTTTGTCCCAAAAGATGAGCCTCTTATCTTTCTCTCATTATGTAGGCCAAAAGAGGTAAAGAACCTGATGTAGCAGAGTTCATATCAGCTCTGGCAGCAGGCAAGAATGCGCAACTCTTGGTGGTGGCTGGCGCCGGCGTAGCCGGTTCCACCACGCTAGCAATGGCTGCAGCTGCTCATCAAACTGGTGGCCGTGTGGTATGCATTTCTTGTGGGAAAAGTGAATTACAAGCATCAAAAAAGGCTATAGGAGTTTATGGAGATTGTGTTGAGTTTGTTGTGGGAGATGCTAAAAGCCTTCTTATGAGTGATTACAAAGGAGCTGATTTTGTGCTTGTAGATTGTGATATCACTAATGCAAGGGAAGTTTTTCTAGCAGCAGTTAAAGGTGCCAATACAGATGGGGCACTTGTGGTTGGATATAATGTCAGGCATAGGGTCTCACTATGGAGAAAACTGAGAGCATCATTTTTACCTATTGGAGAAGGGTTGCTGGTGACCAAAATAGATCCATATATGAAGGGTAATGATGATAAAAAGGTTGTCCAAAGAAGGAGGAGTCGTTGGATTGTTCAAGTAGATAACTGCACTGGAGAGGAACATATTTTTAGGATCACCTCTCCATATAGGAAAGAGCAGATTGAAGTTTAAGCCTATAAATTGATAGGTTTTGAAGAATAAAAGGATTGAAGTGTGCATACTTTTCTTGGTCTGAAAGGTTTTTCCTACATTGTGTTAGGTTCATGTACAATAGAACAGGAGCTAGTTGTTATTCAGTTGGATCCTTGTATTGACTTGTGTAATTTTAGTATATATGTCTAGACTCAAGAACATTTGGCCTGCAAACTTTTTTCGCAGGCCAAAGAAGCAATAATGTATAGTTTAACATATAAGTGATCAGTGATGTATCTTTTATGAGCATGAAAAGAAGAACAAGTTTTTTCACTTGTATCCTTTTATTCAATTGTCATGTTTTATTGGTTTACAAGATTAAATTTTCAGAGCAACTTTTAGTTTTTATATATAAGACTTTCATCCAGAGTTTCCTTAGAATCTGTTCATTATGTTAATGTTAATCTCCCCTACTTGTTGTTATGGGGTGGCTGTTGAAGGCCGTTTTGGAAGTATCTGGATAAACCAATCTTTTCAACATAATCAAAGATTCAAAGGCTAATTGCTAATTGCAGCTAACAAACCCCAGTCCTTCATATCAAATATAGTCATGGTCTGATCAGTTGAATCTTACATATGATATTATGTAAGACTTTCAATATTCCTTCTAACCTATTAAATACATGTTTTGTTTTTTAAGTATTGTGTATTACTAGCTGGTTTGTCCAACAGATTCCAAGGTCAATTAATGACACAGAAAAAAGAAAAACAAATTGTAAACATTTAATTAGTGGTGATTTTCATATTGATGCATGCTGGACAAAAGAAGGGTTGCAGGTTTCAATTTTTCACTATTGTATACATAAATAAATACATTAACACTATTATTTTGTCTTGCAGTAACATATTTTATGGCTAAGCCAAAAAATTCCATTCCACCTCACTTTGTAATATAAATCAATCTCTGAAAGTGAGTACTCAGATCAACAGATGGCTTTTAAGATCCCCTGATTGCAAAAAATCAGAGAGCTGTTTTTACAATTCATTCAAAATGCTTGTATATAAGGGCTTTTAAGATCCCCTCATTTTGTTAGCCTTGAGTTGATGCATCATCAAAAAACAAAATATTCATGTAATATTATGAGTTAAGCATATGATTACAGGACTGAGTGGTGCTATCTAGAAAATATTGTGTTGGCATTGGTCTTTGCAGATAAATTTGTTAAATTCATTATGTAATGTGTTGGGATTGTTTTCTATATATCATGTGTCAGTAGGTGGTGAAAAATTTTGGTTTATTGAAGCTCAGGACTTGCATTTCTTCGTAAACAATTGGAGACACAACATAATTTCACAGGTATGAAAATATTAGTAGAAAGAGTCCAGTTGTGAGAAATTCTAATTTTGTGCTGCTGACTCTTTTTTCTTCTGTACGTAGTGCTGAAACAAGACATACCAATATGATAAAAAAAATTGTTGTATAGTTTTGGAGCAATTAGTAAGTTCCAACAATTAAAAGTCAAGGCTCATATCAAGTTAAGAAGACCTTGTAATAGAGCTCTTGATCATTTCATGTTCTCAAAGCTCCCACATAAGCCCCTTTCAATACTTCTTTGATCATCTTAATTGGGAATTGAATAGTGTGCTACAAGGATTCAAAAGATGGTGAAGACCAAGCTCTGTTGGCACTACCATTCATCTAGGAAATATGCACAATTCAATTTTATGTTTACAATGATCACAATATATAAATCAGTTGAAAATGGCAATATATATATATATAGGCTTTAAAGGTGGTACCTAAGGTGGATAATGACTATAACAATAATGCCTATATATCACCATCTCAGTCTTATACAAAAAAATGTATGAAAATAAGTAGGACAGTTTATTAGTAAGAAATTAATTATTTTATAAAGTTTTATAAATATAAAGGGTTATAGTAAAATAATTGGTCAAGCTAGTTTAATGTAACAGACTTGGTCAAGCGTGAACTTGTGGATCTTCCCTCAACCAATATGCCGAATGGATACTTGGCAATACAAAACATTAACCAAAGCATGATATTTCAACAAAGTCAAGCTTTCTGCAAAACTGTACATTGAACTAAGCACAAAAGTACAAAACTTAACCATTCACATCATTTTATAACCATACCCACCATATCTATACCTCTTCACATCTTTCCTTACATCTCATATATTATTAACAATATATAAGCTGAAAATGTCATAATACCTCAAAAGTCACCATTAATATAGCTTAGTAAGACATGCTTAATTCATCACCTATAACTTATTAATCTTCAAACTTATTAAGACCCTTAACCAAGAAATCACTCACGGAAAAGGTGTTCTTCTCCTGATTGATGATCTATGTGCTTGATCCAACGGCGGCTAGGGCCCTTTGTAGCAATTGCTGCACCACTACTTCTACTCCCTATGTAAGCCATATCCAAACCCTTACCAACAGGTAAGAACACTGATCTAACGACACGTGTCCCTCTCTCAAGCACCCAATTCCATCTAAACCCTGAAAAGTTTCTTTGACATGCATTCTTGCATGCCAAAACTGCCCCTCTTGTGCTCACCTTTGTCACCCTTAGAACCCTAGCAAAGTTTCTATGCTTGCAATCAACCACAAGAAAATCCAACCCAACAAGCCTCGCCACAGCCGCCTCCGGCTCCCCGGTAACCACCTCGGGCGGCGGCGACAACCCGGTATCCGCCAAAGCCTTTGTGTAATGCAATCTTGACCGTTCGTCCGAGACTATGCACACGTGCCTTGCACCTGTGTTGCGAGCAGCAACCGCCAGACCAACACTTGCAGCTATAGGTCCACCGTAGGACCATGTTTCAACGATAAACTTCGCGTCCCAACCCGCCGCCATGGCCGAGAGAAACTCCGCCACTCCCGAATCCTTAAACTTCTCACACTGCACAAAATGATCAAAGTCAAAAGAACACACACACACACACATATATATATATATCAAGAAAGTTATGAAGAAAGAAAGAAGGAAGGTAAAGAAAGAAAATGATGTTACCGATTTAACGGTGTCTAAGTAAGATTTTAAGGCAGATTCTGGTGACCAAACGAGCTTCATGGTGTGGATGATCTCTTTCTCTCTCTCTCTGGTTCTTTCTTTCTGTGTATGTGTGTGTATTTATATATATATATATGTTGGGTTTTTCTTTCTCAACTTTGGAAATTTTGTTAATGTGATGGAACGAAAAATGGAGGTACTGAGGTACACATTGACGTACGGGGAGGCGTTAGGTATATGAGTTGATAAATGGTGATGAATATATATATATAGAGAGAGAGAGAGATGTGAGATATGTGAGATATGAGTGAGCGTTGACATATTGGACACGCAATATGAACGTGTAGATTAAGCCCAAAGATTAAAAGAAATTAATTAGCCGGAGATGATTGACCATATAGCTAGCTTTTAGCTAATATACTTTTTCTTTATTCCTTTTTTTGTTTGGCTTATTACCATATGCAAATAATGATTAATTACGATGATAGTGAATAAAATTAAGAGGGGGTTATTGGATAAGCTTAAAAGAAAAGTAATTTATATATATATATATATATATATGGGTCTGGATCATTTTACACCCGTGTAAGTTGTACTTTCAAAAATATATATATATATAGGGATAGGATATTGTGACACACAAATAATGTTACGCACAATGTTACGACCACATCTTAACCGTTGATTTCCGCCAATCAACAGTTATCATTTTTCAAATTAAACTCATTAATTAGTTATTAATTTGCAATAAATGATAACCGAGTGAAAAATAATTATAAGGAAATATGGAGTACGAGTACGAGTACGAGTACGAGTACGAGTGAGTATTTAGTAATCCTTATAGCAAATATGGAAAAGCCAAAATTTCACATATTAGAAGGGAGTGAAAAATAATTATAATTTTAGCTTTGTTGGTTCAAAAGCAAATCAATGAACATACATCATTATTTTATACCTACTAATTAAAAGCATTGTGTTAAGCAAATGCCGGCTTTAGCCATTTTGAGGTTTATGAGCACAGTCAAAATATAAATCTTGAAGGGGTGATAGAAAAGAAGTCAAACGAAGGTGGCTAAATAAAATTAAAATAAGGATAAGCATGGCAAATCTCATGCCATGAAAATTATTCTTACTCTCGTAACCAAGGCAAGCAAATATATTTGTTGGTTATTGATCCTGAAGTAGAATATATATCTCTGCATTTAATTGAAAGAGCAATATATTTTTAATTTTTAATTTGGATTAATTTAATTCATTGGTCAATTATTGTTTATGCCTTTCTTCATGTTATTCTATTATAAATGGGAAAAATGTTTCTGCAGTTAATGCAGATAATTTATCTGCATTTATTCCTAAAACGACGTCGTTTTGGTATTGAAATCTTAAAAAATTATAAATATAAAGACTATTATAACCCTGAAATAAATTAAAATTACAAAAACACCATGATTTCCGCCTCAAAACGACGTCGTATTGGGCTTACTGCAGATAACTTATCTGCAGTAACTGCAGAAAAAGTGAACCCATTATAAATATTTTTTTATATTTTATTCATGGAGATTTTATTGATTAATGTATTTTTGTCTTATACTGAGTTAATTTGTTAATTTTGTTAACTTTTAGAAAAAGTTACATTTTATACATCTCGGAAGAATTGCACAAAACTAATGGTTTTCCTGGGTGATCTTTTTTTATGAATATCTGTGATATAGTTCTTCAAGAACTATAACTTTAGGCCATTATTGAAAAGATTCAACTGATCTCCGAAATAATTTAAAACAAAATATTGAAAGAAAACATCCTCTTTATTCTCTACCTCTCGAATATGCTCCAAAAGACAAGTTAGAGAAACATTTTTTACTTTTCATCTCTAGAATATGCTATTTCCTGAAGTGATTGCAATATCAGTATATAATCGTGGATGTCATGAGCGTAACTACTATTGTGGAAATAGCCATAATAATAATATTTGGCATCGCGATAGCTCTTCTAGTCATTTAGATTAATCAAATTTATGAATCAATTTTTTTTTTATTATGGGAAGAAAAATGTGAAAGGCCAAAAAACACAAGAAAATTGTTGAAACACATCAATATTGTCCATCTAGTTAATTATACACTCAAATGATTGTGAACTTGAAGTTCAAATAATAATTGGTTTTGTAAGATATTACAAACCAGTACAAATATTCTTATGCGATTGATTGTCTCTAGAGGATATCATGCGAATATAATGATTAATGAATCTAGAGTACATAAATGATATTGATCCTTGACGGAAGGGAATAAAAAGTAACACTCCAAAAAAAATCAATAATAAATTAATAACTTCGTATTTTTAGAAAAGTGACCCAAAAGTGATCACTTTTCTAATTTCTTTTTACCTATATGATTTTAAGATTATGTCCCTACATTTACGGTCCTAAGCGTAACACTATTAGAAAAGTTCTCTTTTTCGATGAAAATTATCGATAAAAAATTAGTTCTAAGTTCAAAATTAAATAATTAAGATAAAAAATACTTAATTCCTTAATCATTACGCCAACGAAGTTTCATTTAAAATCAAACAAAATATTTGCAAAAAGGAATTGGACTACAAAAAGTGGACCACAGAATTAAACGTTATTTCGCTTCAGGATCTCAGAAAAAACAAACTACCTATAATATATATATTTAACAAGTTGTGAAGGGTGAGACTTCGTATTTGTCACTATCGTCTACGAACATCAATCTTAAAATATGATTTTTATTTTTGTTTTCTTCATTGATTAATTAATGTATGATAGGTAGGGCAACACAAGAAATACATCTATCATAGCAAAAAAATTTAAAAAAAAAAAACTGTTGAGTATGATTTATATTCCGTATTTGATTGACGAAAAATATCTCTGGATTACGTTAATTGTAGTTAAGAGGATAGGCATGATAATTTTCAACACAATTATTGACACCGTATGAAAAAGTATTCGAGTTGACCCATTTTTAAATTTGTATAAACTGACACAAAAAAATTCGGAACATCTAAACTTAATTAGTAGAAGTGAGACCCTAAAAAAAGCTAAGTCTTGGTTTTTGATTTATTAGGAACTTTTTCCATAGTTAGTTCCCCTAATTAGTAGGAATCTTTATTGAGCACAAATTTACCCTCGATGATCGATGTTAGAATTTTGTGTATTATGAATAAATAATTTGAGTTTGAAAAGACATGTCTTTTTGTCCTCGAATATGCTTCAATCGAATCGTTATCTTATGTTTTTTATAAATACAAAGGGATCAAAAAAAAAAATTGGACATTAAAGGGATCAAAATTTTAGATCTTCTTATTTTTGCCTACTGATTTCTGCACATTCATTTGTAAATACATATTCTTACTCGAAAGTGATTCTTCAATTATTTGGTTGTATTTGAGGGAGCTCTTGATTGGAATTACTACTATAATACAATTCAAGAGACGAAATATGTTATATTTTTAGAGATAATTGTCATAAAATCTTGGATACCATAAAAAAAGTAAATTAGCTTACGAACAAAATGGTATCACTGGGCTCAAATTTTTTCAAGATATGTTTTTATAATCTTACAAGATTTTGATTTATGTTTTTATGTATGCTTTGAACATTTGTTATTTCCCCTCGTGATGTTGGCATTGTTTTCCAACTCACGATCAGAGATATTTGCAGCTCCAACTAGCTAGCTACCATACATAGGACTATTATATAGCCTTTTGATGTTCATAGTTTTATCATTAGGGACCGTTAAACACTAAAGTTAATTAGAGCAATCGCTTTCCATGGCTTTATAATCAATATCACCTTATATTATAGTTTGACATCAATATTAATGTCATTGTCATTCAAAAATAGACTTACATCTTTTGTGAACTATATATCATTGACACTTTCAATATATTATTTTTAATGAATACAAAACCTAAAATAAAACAAAAGTATATATTAACGCATGGTGAAGACTCTCCAACTTTATAAATCGATACATGTGTAGTTTGCATATGGCATATAAACAAATGTTTTACTTTCGTAACTAACATTATAATTTAGATTAATAAATCAATTGTGAGTATGAACATTTTTTCGGATGTAAATTTTTCGTATATTGTCACATATCAAATTGACAAATTATAATAACTAGAGTGATGCCAAAAGCGTATAAAAAATTGACTAAACATAAAATTAAGATTTCATAAAAGAATAATCTTCTGATTCTCAATTTCTAATTATCGAAATAATAAAATGGGTAAAGTGTATGTCATTTCAAAAGATGTAAAGTTGTGTCATTTTAAGAGAGAGAAAGAGATAGATAAAGGAGGAGATAGAGTTGACAAAAAAAATAAAGGTGTCGGTCCTACCTCTTTGTGAGAGTGAAAGGATATAAGTTGTGTCATTTAAAAGGATAAACATTTTTCCCTAATAAAATTCATCTCCTACAATAAGGGTTATAAACACCCTTTTATAGACTAATTATAAATTGATCCAAAATTCAAATTCTAAAATCCAAAAAATAAGAAAAATTCCTAAAATAAATATAAATGTAATTAACTTCTAAAAATAAATAAATAATTACAATTTTTAAATTATTTAAAATACGTATAATTAAAATCTTATATCTCAAATCATGTCAAATGTGTTGCTTTCCTTTTCTTGTCATACAAATCACAATCATATCCCTTGCTTTAATTATATTTGGATTTGATCGTAATTTGTTATATTTCAAATTATTGATTGTTTTAATAATTGAGTCATACTTATTTGACCACAATTCTGATTGACTCTGGGCTTCCTGAATCAATTGTTGGGTCATATACGATAGACTAACATCATAAAGAACAAACAAATTTGTACAAGCTAACGTAAAATTTCAACTCAACAAAGAAAGAAATTAACGTTTATTCTTTCCTCACTTATTATTCTTATTCTAATTATTTTTGTCTCTTGTTTTTCATCATCATTAATTTGTCCATAAACGATTAAGATTATCTCACAAGAGATCTTTAGACATGATAGGAATATCTAACATTGTGAAACTGAAGTAATTAAGAAATGT